TGAGATGGAAAAAAAAAATGTGCAAAATGATGTAAAAATAAACTTTGTAATAAAAAAAAAATTACCTTTCAAGCAGATCAGATGATGCCACAGCAGCTGCATTTTTATTCATTGTTTTACCAAGGCAGACTTGGATTGAACAGGTATATAATTGAAGATCTTGATAGCCAGTCCAGAAATTCTTCTTCCCTAATACTGGAGAAGTGGAAAATGAATTATCACGTCAATCACATTTGATTTCAACTCTGCATAAAAATGTTATATATTCCTAATACATGAACAACATGTATCTGTGTACAGGTATTAGATGTATTTTATATATTTTGGTCTATGGCATTTTAGTCATTACTAAGATCTGAAAATGCAGAGACAGAAAGAAGTGAGCAAGTTGTCGGATTCCTCTATATTATCATCAATATCTACATAACATCGATATTTTCTGGCAGAAAGGAAGAGTAATGTTAACCTTTAGTTAACATTATAGCTCCCATAATAAGTGAACTATAAAACCAAAAGAATGAGAAATATGTCTCTTTCCCTATCCTCAAAAGAATGAAAAAAATGAAGATATATCTGCAAAATGATAGAATACGCTATTGAACAAAAAGATTCCAAATGCCTTACCATCGATCTTGTAGAACTTCCTGCAGATACTATATTACTCTGATTCATATTACTCTACCACCCTCTTAAATATCTTCCTGTGAAAGAAAAACAAATACAATTTTAATGTCTTAGATAGCTCTACTGTGAAAAATATGGAGACTGGTAAAATTTTAATTTATTAAAAATACTGTATTTGAAGTAGTCACCTCAAAGAAATATGAAGTACAGAAATTTTAAGTTGGAAAACATAGTAGGATCATTTAACACAAATCTCCTATTAAGGAAGTGAGTAGCTAGACTTAGATTGTATTTCCCATACAAATGAGAAAAGTTTTGCGGTGGTTTTCCTACCAGAACTCCAGCTTTGGAGTCTTGAGCAAGCACCTTGACATCAGAGAGACCTGGGTTCCAATCCGTGGGGTTTCTCCAAATCTCAGTTTCTTTACAGGGAAACAATGCACACCACCTTTGTACAGTGATGGTTTACAAATGTACACACATGTCAAAACTTACCAAAACATACTCACTTTAAATATGTGCTGTTTGTATGTATCATTATACCTTGACAAAGGAAAATATAAGGGTATTCAGAGGAGCTGTAAATGGAAGGTTTTCATAGGTAGAAACAAGGAGGAAAAAAAAGAAAAGAAAGGTTGTTTCAGGTTACCTTCCTATAGGGGCAGAGAATGGCAGGGGTTTCAGCAACAGGTCACTTCTATAGTAATGATCAATAAAGTCCAGACTGATGGTTTAAAGTTCCACTGAGGAGTAACTGAAACTGAAATTAAGGTAGGTGCTCAGTCTTGGTGGGGTTTAGCAAAAATGACTTTTTTGGGTCCTCTGTCTCTTTCTTAAACATCTTTCACTCCATTCTTCCATATGATTAATTTTTTTTTAAATATTACTCATGAATCAAAGGAAAAAAACAGGCACAATTTGTTAGATTTTAGTTGAAAATTGTATAACAATATATTTATATCCAAGTCCATCCTTATTTAACATTTCAACTCTTATACCAAATGGTCTCACTTAGAGGTATAATTAATTAGAAACCTTACTGAGCTAGCATGGTAAAGATTAAAATAATATAGTATGAATGAACTCATAAAAGCAAGAACCTAAATCTTACCCTCCCTCTCCTCACTATTCTTGCCAGGTACATTAAAGGAGGGATCTAATTGCTTTGTTCAGATTCACATACTACATAAGGCAACCAGACTCCAAATGAATCTTGAATATATAGGACACTCTTTGAATTTATGTTCAAACTGAAAGATTTGGCTGAAGTTGAAAATATCTAAGGGAGATGTTTGGTTCGGTAACAGTGGAAAATACAAATCCAGAATCTATCTATAAAAGGCAGGTGCTAGATCTTTTTAATACCATATTAGGTGGTATGAGGTGATCCAACAAGCATATAGAAATATTTACTAACTTGGGACTACCATCACATATAGTTAATGATAAAATATCAGAAACTGAGTATGTAAAAACTGCTAATTGGTTAAATAATTACAATATACCCATATACAATAATGCTACATAGTCTGATAACTAAGGGGAAATGTCAAGTTACCAGGTTTGAGTGTCACTTCTTGGGTTAGAGTATTCAAAATTAGCTCCTTTTAACTGGTCTCCTTTAATTTCATTTTCCCTTTATGTCTTGCTTTTCTTTTATCTCCCTTTGCTATTTGCAAATTCTTCAAGTTGAAAAAGAAAACAATATAGATTTTATATTTACCGAAGAAAACTGGCTATCCCCGTTTCATAATTTCTTATGACTATACCTTTGTAAGTAAATGGGCAACAATAAATACAAGTAAAATGCACCTTTTCTGCTATTATTCAAAAAGATATGACTTTCATAGCAGCTATCCTCACAGTGTGGTTAATTTTTTCTGCAATTAATCCTCCTAAATCTGCTGTGTAATACTCCTTACAAAAGGTTTTACAATCAGGTTTTATGTACGTCAGGAAGAGCACTGGTCCAGAAATCCAGCTATCAGAGTTTGAATTCCATTTCTGCTGCCCAGTAGCCCTGTGACTTTGAGCAGTCTATGAATTTAAAATTCTACGTTCAGCTTACTAAAGTACAAGTCACCTACTGTTTTTGCATACAGAACTGGGGTACAGGCCAGAGGTGCAGGGGTAGTGAGAGGATTCACCAGAAACAGAGTGGGGAGCAGAACAGGCCGATGGACAAAGTACACTGCTGAGGGGAGCAGCAGGCGGGTCAGAGAAGTCTGCCACGCCATGTGGTCACCTCCAGGGCAGGCGGGGATCGAACTCATGCTAAAGTGGTTTTGGCTTCTCAGTGCTGTGCTTTAACCGGCTGCACCACCAGGGAGGGCCTAGGAGGACTTTTTTTTTAATACGTGCAAGCATCTCTAAGGTAAGTCAGGTTTGTGAATGGGATGGAGTAACCTGTAGTCAGTGTATTTGGGCGGAATTAGAGAAGGTGTGAAATTTTACACTGAAGTTATTTCTAGATAGGACAATGGCAAGATGGTGCTAGATACCCAATAATCTCGATTCAAAGATTGACAAAACAAAAATGCTTACTGTTCACAGGTTCACTGGCACTAGTACTGAAAAAGCACATACTGTTTGTTATAAAATTAGATCTACAGATTTTATTTTAGACTTATATTTGAAAAGGGGGGAAGAAAAATAGCATTTAGAAACTGTACTAACTTGTATACCTTATCACAACAGAGATTCTCCAAGATAGCATAAAACTGTTTACATAATCCCAAAATTCCAGAACATTGGCAAAATCAAGAATGACTCCCTTCCCTGGGCTAGATTTCACTTACTTGATCCTTTTAAAATGACCTGAAAGTTTAAAGAAATCAAGATATAAGAGCTGAATCAAAGAATTAATCCTTTATTTTGTATCCAAAGGCAATATTCCCGCTGTTGGTGTTTGTTTTTTTCCAAGAATCTAAACAATTCAAGAATACTGCTCATTTGTCTTGGGGGTGATGCACAGTATCTGTGAGTAACACATAGTTCCACTCTGTGTGAAACATGAGAAAACTGCTTCAAAGGAGGAGCCCTCTGGCTTCTTGGAGCATCAGAGCTTCATCAAAGTAACAGCTCACAGCTCTCAGAAGCTTCCTTAAACTAGCTGACTGCCTTCTGCTTGCTTTCATTCACACACACATCCACCAAACATTAACTTGTGGGAATTATGTTAAGTGCCCGAAAATACTTCAGTGAGCAATGCAAGGTCCCTGATTTCAGGGCATTTACATTCTAGTGCTGGAGAAAAACAAGAGAAAGGAAACAACAAAGTGACCTAGAGGTCAGGTGACATGACTGATGTGACTGCACAAAAGAGGGCTTAACTTGGACTGGATAGTGGTGTTCAACTGAGATCCAAATAGTAGGTCAGCCAGGAGAAAAACAAAGTATTCCAGGCACAGAAAAGGTCTTAAGGCAGTAAAACAAATCTGGGTATTTACAGGACAGAAAGAAATGTGACTGGAGCATGTGAATGATGAAAGTGAAAGATAGCAGATGAAGAGAAATAGGCAGTCTAGATAACCTAAAGCCTTAGGATCCATGAGGAATTAGGATTTTTGTTTGATCTTACTTCCTACAACCTCATTATGCTCAGAAGACCTGAATTTGCATTTGCCTTATCTATTTATTACCTTTTGTTCACTGAGGTTGGGCTCTGCTTTTTCTGTGGGTTTTCTGTCTCTGCTCTTAATCCTGCTTATTCCAGATAGCCTGACACCTTGTTAGCCTAAATTATGTCAAATTATGTTAGCCTAAATTATGTCTTTATGTAATATAAAATAAAAATACAAAACCCCTTATTAAAAAAGATTGTTAAGAATTTCAAGACAGTGACATTAAGCCAGCAACAGGGCCATTAAAGCATAGTGCCCTTGTGCACCTGCACAGGCCAGGATGCCATGAAACTGGCCCTGATCTTGACAAACATAATTAGAAAGAAATAAATGCCTCTACTGATGTACGATTTCAGTTTTTATTTCATCTGACCTGTCAATCATAAAAACTTAGTCATCTTTAAATAAAGCAGCTGCTCAAACATGTAGCTTAAAGGAAGCTTCCAGGAAATACGAAATTACAATATCAAGACCTATTGAAGGAAGTTCATCTCATTAGTGGGCACTGCTGGAAAACAGTGATTATACAGCTTGTTCTCAAGCAAACTGTAATTCATTTGTTTTAACTATTTACTCAGATGCATTACTCTTTTTTCTTTTAGGTGTAAGTAAAGTATTATAATAAGTAGTTACTAACTGAACAGTTGCTAGTACTGCTAGAAAAACTGTTAGGTATTTCAAAATGACAATAGATCTAGCAGCTTTATTATAAAGCAAATAGACAGCTAAGAAATACTGCTCCCTGATGATCATATTATGATTTAAGTTGCACTTGCCATAATTTAAATTACACATTTAAAATACTAAAGAAATATAATCACAAACCAAATTTTAAAAATACTTATATATAAACCTTGTCTTCAAAAATTGTGAAAACCAATAATCAATCAGATAAAAAACACTTTCCATTTTTCTCCCTTTCCCTTCACTCATTTTGCTCATCCCCAAATTAAAAAATGATTATTATGAAAGAGCAAATATCTACTTATGTGAAATCAAACATGATCATAGCTAATTAGAAAGGGTTCATAGGTTTAATGATTCACTGCTAAAGAATGATATTACAAATTAAAGGTACAAAGCATGCAATGTTAGTCTAACCCCGATATTTTGAGATGATAAGCAACACCTCCACCTGCAGATTAGAGTTGTTTGAGCCATGCCCTGAGATGCCCTATTCCATTCATTATAGAGCCTATTACTAAGTGTTACCATAACGATTTATACAATATGGCAACCACACTCAGAGTCACAAGTTGTGACCAACACAGCTACATTGCAATCAAAATGATTGTACTTTGGAAGGGATGGTTTCATTTGTAGATAAAACAGAAAATAAAATAAGAGACTAAGACAAACACACTACTAGTGGCATATTTATACTATAGCCTGATGGTACTGGAACGATGCAACCTGAAGAAAAAGAGTGGCTGGACAAAACCTATCGCTGGCTTCAGTAACAGAAACATTCACATGGGCCTGAGTCTATGTTGAAATTTTAAATACGGCATGTTTTGTATTGACAGAGCAGACAATCTGGCATAAGAAATGAGTTAGATACAGATGAAAAACATTTTCACTCATTCTCATATGACTAAATGTCTAGAATCATAGAATATGGACATTTTCATGCCAGAGAAGAAAAGTTTCATAAGATACTTGAATTTATTAGCTTTGCAATTTTCTGGCCCTGTGACCACAAGTTAAACAATTACTCTGTTAAGGTGACCATTGTTATTCATCAGGACAACTGCAATTGTCTCTTAGACGTTAAACTTCCATTTTTGCCCCTCTTTCTAACATAAATATAATATATATTTCTAACATAAATATAATAATGAGAATCACACCCCTTGTATGCATTAAACTCTCCAATAGTTTCCTATTGCTTTTAGACTAAAGCCCAAACCCCCAGTTAAGGCTGAAAAGGCACTGCATTACCTGGGCCCTGGATAACTGCTCTGACCCCATTTCCTAACATTTTCCTCCCTGCTCACTCTATAAGACTACACTAGCCTCGTTTTTTGTTCTTCAGTAGTATCTAGCTCCTTTTTACCTTAGCCTTTGCCTGGCCTGAGATTGTCATGGTGTAGGTTATCACCTTATCATTCTAGAATAGGCTCAACTGTCACATTTGCAAGATCTTACTTTACTGCCCCTCCTCTCCTTATCTCGATTGCACTATTCTAATCCACTGTCTTGAAGTGTTCAGATTGTTATCTGAAATTCCTTTATGTATCTGTTACCAGATTATCTCTTAAGTCTTTCATTATAAAGTACAACCTGTAACAGAAGTGATCTGGTTTTATTTTCTGTGCGCTGGAGCCCCGATAGTTGTAATAGCCCCAGTAGGAGTAAAACAAATGAGGAAAAAATGTCGAAGGACTTAAGTCATATAACTCTTCAGGCCTTCAGTTTTCTCATCTATAGCATGGAGATAATTATACCTGTTCTAGACATCTGAAACAATGTCTAACATTTTCTGATTTGTACTATGCCTCGGGCACGGGAACAGTGCAACCTGAAGAATGGCCTTACATGAGGCTTCTCATTTATTACTATGCCTATTATCTTACCAATAAGGTCATCAAGTCAGAGGACAAATAACTGGCATAAGGGCACAGGCACAGTGATGACAACCCTGCGAAGTGAGTCCTGCCTGATCTCAGGATCTGAATTCTTAACTTTATGGACTGTAGTTCGATGCTTCCTTCCAGTGCAGCAAAATCGACTACGCTGTGTCCTCTGGTCCTCGTTTGTCGGTGGGAAAGGAAAGAAGACGATTACATCCTCCACGCCTTTCTTTTCCAAGAGGAACAGCCCGTCTCTCACACTTTTTCCTTGAACGATCCCCATATCCCGGTCTCTCTCCTAAACAAACTTCAGTTTGACAACGTATGTATCTCCCGCGCCAGAAGCGGGATGCTCGCTGAGTAGGTAAGAGGCATCAGAGCAGTGAAAGACAATGGTGAGGGGCTGAGAAAATGCAGATGTTCTGGGGGCGCGAGTGGGCCATGGTTAACGACGAAGGTTTCCAGGGAGAGAGATGATCCTCCAGCCGCCAGCAATAAGTAGCGGACCCGAGGCCAGAGCCCAGGTGCGAGGACGCGGGACAGTAGCTAGGTGCAGACAAAGGCTGGTGGGGGTTAGGAAGACAGAGACTTCTTATTCGCCGCGGAGAGGTTTGGGCACTATCCTAAAAGTAAGTTAGATGGGCACTGGAAGGAAGCAAAGTGGGAGGAACAGTCACGAAGCAAAACGCGAACTTACCCGAAATCTGGCAACCCGGCCTCCGTAGCCCGACTCTGAGCGCGGCCACCTGAATCGCCTGGTAGCCTAGGCAGCGGCGGGCTCCACCTAGATATCGCGAGACAGAGCCGGTCTCGCGAGACCTGCACCCTTGTCCCTGACAGGCGGGCGTTCTTTCCGGGTGTTATGGGAGGGCTCTGGCGGCCGGGATGGAGGAGCGTCGCTTTTTGTGGCTGGCGTTGGGGCCTCCCCGGGGCCCCGATCGGGGTTACAGAGACTGTAGAGTCGTGTCTTAGGCCGTGGAGGAGTGGGACAGGGGTTGCTGAGAGGGGGCTGAGGCGGCTTGGGACATGGAAGCGCCCCAATCTGGGCCGGGACTTGGCGCAGCCGCCGCGGCGGCCGAAGAGCAGTAACCCCTTCACGCGCGCGCAGGAGGAGGACTGGCGGCGGCGGAACAAGACCGTCCTCACGTACGTGGCCGCGGCCGCCGTGGGCATGGTGGGGGCGTCCTACGCCGCGGTGCCTCTGTATCGGCTGTATTGCCAGGTAGGGCCGGTGCTGGCCCCTGGAGGTGGGGCGGGTCGGAGATCCCGTGGCGGCGATCGATCCACCGTGCTAGGAAGGGATGTACGAATTGATCTACCAAAGCAAAAAGAGTCTCCAAAAGTGACTTGGTCAAGGTCACCCAGAAAGCTGTTGGCAGTTGAACCCAAGCCAGATAGTGGTCTTGCTTGTACAAAGCAAGGAGCAAAGTGACCCCCACATCTCTGAGCGGACCGACCAGACCACACTGAAAGCTATATATTGTGTTGAGTAAGTGTTCGAGAGAGTTGGTTTGTTGTACGTGGGATTCACCAGAGAGGTTTTGAAACTTAGGATGTTCAGTTTACATCCCTAACGAAGACAGAATGCCTGGGGATGGGAGTCAGGCATTAGTGGGAGACTGCAATGTTCCGCAAAAGTGGATACTAGGTAACTGCTCTTGCCTGCCACTATTATTAATACGTGGTTAATACCCTGCCCTTATGGAGATTGATGTAATTTCCATAATGACTGAAACAGTAAAAATCAAAAGGGCTTTATTGCAGTCTTCTGGTATGAACATGTAGGAAGATGCATCACAATAGCTATTTTTGGAGAATGATAGTAGAATGTAAATTAATGTTTATCACAGGCCAGTGTGGTTCAAGCATGAATCCCCAAACTACCAATGTTAAATCATAAGCAGAACTGAATCCAAAGCAACCAGTATCTGAAAGCATGGGGGATGGAGGTTGACACAAGAGGTATTCTCCAGGGGGTACCCAGCAGTCCAAAGATGTTGGTTATGGCTATTGCTAACATCCCACCCTCTACACTCCCAAACAAAGAATTAACCAACTTAAAATGTCATTAGTGCCAAATTTGAGAAACTCTGCTCCAGATTGTAACAAATGACAATATTTTGTGCAAATGTACGCAGGGCAGGAAAGTTAAAGCAATTGAAATTTGTAGTCCTAAACTTAAGTTGTATATTCAAAGTGGCATTTCCAAAAGAAATGATTTCAGAATGCCTGGGAATGGGAGTCAGAAGAAATTGCACTTTTGGAATACAGCACTTTAGAGCCCAAAGTGAGGGATAAATGGTTTCTATAACCTTTTAATACAGTGACTTTATTTTATAAATGTAGCCTATAGGAAGATTTACTTAGTTCTTAGAGGAGCAGACTAGAGCACGTTTTCGTTCTTTACTTGCTGTAATCATTAACAAATTTGAGGGATCTATATTCAAAGACAGAAAGAATACATTAGGAGTTTTTATTCAGGTGACTCCTTCAGAAAAAGGAGTTAATATCGTTAAATTTCAGCAGCAAAGGACATAAGAATATACTTACTGTTAAACAAGGGTAAGCACTTGTCCTCTGAGTTTTTTTAGGGTTATAATTCCACCATGTTGCAAGGCTGTTGAGTGAAGCTAGTTGATGTAACAAGATTTATTCTCCTAGTGTAGTAACAGATTACCCAGAGACCAGAATTCTGACAATTCTGAAGAATTGACGAATCAGAAGAATGACACTGGAAGCAAGGTGTTTTAAGTATATGTGATAAGGAAATAATGCAGTGAATTTTAAAGCTGAAGTGCCAGACAAGATTATTGGGAATATTTGTTAATCCAGTGGTCAGAGGAATTAGGTTCTATGATTAACTGGTTATGTCTAAAACAATTGTACTGTACAAATAACTACAAACTATAAAGTCTAGACAAGATCAGGAAAAAATGTAGACATGAATACATAAAGTGGCGGTTAGTTTTAATGATAGTCATGGATATGTTTTATTTCTGTTAATAGTTGCTATAAAATACTAGCATAAAAAGAAAGGTTAATGTAAAGTTCAACTCAAAGTTCTAAGCTGGAGTCCTCCCTGGTGCACAGTGGGTTAAAGCACAGCACAAAGAAACTAAAGCTACTTCAGCAGGAGTTTTGATCCCCACCCTAGAGGTGATCCACATGGTGCGGCAGACCTCTCCTGACCCGCCCACTGCTCCCCTAAGCAGTGTACTTTATTTTTTTTTTTAAAGATTTATTTATTTGTACATACAGAACTGGGGTACAGGCCAGAGGCTCAGGGGCGGTGAGAGGCTTCACCAGAGACAGAGTGGGGAGCAGAACAGGCAGATCAACGAAGTACACTGCTGAGGGGAGCAGCGGGCGGGTCAGGAGAGGTCTGCCACACCATGTGGTCACCTCCTGGGCAGGCAGGAATCGAACTCATGCAGAAGTGGCTTTAGCTTCTCAGTGCTGTGCTTTAACCCACTGCGCCACCAGGGAGCCAGCAGTGTACTTTATTAATCTGCCTGTTCTGCTCCCCGCTCTGTCTCTGGTGAATCCTCACACCGCCCCTGCACCTCTGGTTTATACCCCAGTTCTGTCTGCATAAATAAATAAATATATCTTTTTTAAAAAAGTTCTAAGCTGTATTAGTAATGGACAGCTAATATTAGCTATATTAGCTCCATATGACTTGTTTGATTACCATGCCAGTAATCAAGTGATTACTGAAAAAATGTGAATGGTAACAAATATCAATCCTTGGCACCCTATAAGTGGTTTAACCATTGACACATTCATCATAGGAAATAGTGGATGATAATATATAACGTTGGTTCCTAATGCATTAAAGTTACAATTTTTAATTGTTTTTATACAGTAAATACATCATTAGCACCTAAAGGTTTTGCTTAACATATAAGCAGTGTCTTCTTTTAGACTACAGGACTTGGGGGATCAGTAGCAGCAGGTCATGCCTCAGATCAGATTGAAAACATGGTGCCTGTTAAGGATCGCATCATTAAAGTCACCTTCAATGCAGATGTCCACGCCAGTCTCCAGTGGAACTTTCGACCTCAGCAAACAGAAATATATGTAAGTGATAAACTGTAAAAGATTTTTTTCCAATGAAAATTTCTTTTCTTCAGTATTTTAAACAGTTTTACTATGTAGGAAACACTCATCTAAACTTAATTTCAAAATGTTAACTCCATTACTGTATTTTTTTTCTTCCCATAGACTGTGTTTGACACCTTTATGTAAGAGAATATACTCTAAGTTTTAAGTTATATAGTACTATAATGAAAGTCAGTTTGGAACCATGCAAATTGTCATGTTTTAATTGAATCATTAAGAGTTCACTAAATAGTTCTGGGATCACTGACCTTGAGAGTAGTATCAACTGTCATAGTTTTCCTCATGATCCAGGAAAAATGTTGAAAAATATTGGTTACAATGAAAAATAATTTACTGATTCACCTCATAAGATCCCTGTCCCGTAAATGAAACTGAGGACTTTTGAAGTCTATTTCAGACGATCCCTTAAAGGTTTCATAAAATCTAGAGTAAATGGAATTCCGGAGGATTCCACTGAAACATCTCATCAGCTGATGAATTTCCAGAAAAGACTAATCATAAACCTGATGGGAAAACCCTCAAGGATTAGTGCTTCCCTGAATTGATAAACATGATTGAATCTCTTCAACAGTGGACAGTTTTTTAGATTATGATTTTGAATAGTGGTTCCAGTTGCATTTTCCAAGGCATTAGGGGTTGAATAGATGGAAGTGAAAGAGTATTCTTTGGAAACTGATCATTTCTAAAGCCTGGCTTTGTAATTACCTGTTATTCTTTGAAGAAATAATTACTGCTCTTTGGTTAAATAAGTTCTAATCAGTTAGAAGATTGCTCTGTTTGTAAGTTTAATTTATTCAATTTATGTTGGTAACCTTTTAATAAGAATCTTTAGTGAATCATAGAATGATATATATTGTCATTGGGCTGTGAGAGGCCTAACATTTCCAGAAAGACAATTTGTTACTCAACTTTAGATTATGGTCTGAAGACTTCAGATATAAAAGAGAATACAATGCATAATTAAGCATAATAGAATAGAACACAGGTTTTTTACTAATACATGCTAGTAAAATTTGAAAATTAGATGTGCATTGTCAGTAATCACAGTTTATTTTTTTAACCCATTTTATTAGTTTAGAATTAGGTATTACCTGATGGGTAGGAAAAATAATATGACTTATCTGTTGGGGAAAAAAGGTGCTGTGTGAGATGTAAAGTACTGATATTATTACACATTTTCTTCAAAACAGGTAGTGCCGGGAGAGACAGCCCTTGCATTTTATAAAGCTAAGAATCCTACTGACAAACCAGTAATTGGAATTTCTACATACAATGTCGTACCATTTGAAGCTGGACAGTATTTCAACAAAATACAGGTATAACTATTAGTACTAAATTTACTGCCATATGTTAATAGGTATTGATTTCTGAAAACTCATTTCTTCTAAACTTCACTTTTTTTCATTACTTGTAATAGCTATGCCAAACCAAATAGATACCTACTTTGAGATTAGAATTAATTTGCTTCATAATCCTTAAAGCAAAACACAATCTGAGGTGAGACATATTACCCTATCGTAGGACTTAAAGATTAATAGTATGTCCAGTCAAAGCCAAGAAATGAGCCACTTGTTTCCACTGTGTTTAACTGAATGGAAATATTAACAAATACTTTTCTATAATTTTAGTGCTTCTGTTTTGAAGAACAAAGGCTTAATCCACAAGAGGAAGTAGATATGCCCGTCTTTTTCTACATTGATCCTGAATTTGCTGAAGACCCCAGAATGGTGAATGTTGATCTCATCACTCTTTCTTACACTTTTTTTGAAGCAAAGGAGGGGCACAAGTTGCCTGTTCCTGGCTACAGCTGAAGGCAGCGACCAAGTCCTCCTTCAAATTTGTGATTTTTGCAAAATCATGTATCTTGTCTTCTCAGAGGAGAACTATTGTACAATAATGTGAAGCCTTCTATTTTAAATATTATATACTAATGGTTATTTACCCCAGCTAATTTATTCAACTTCAATTTGAGAAAGTAAGTTCAGCTTTTTCTAATGGATTCTACATCCTATTCAGAATGTCTGAATGTAAAACCCATGCTCAGAGTTGATGAGTAGCATTAAAAGCAGTTTTGTTTAACTATGTAGGCAATCTTGATGGTTCTTGTGCACTTCCAAATTACTAGCTTGTAGCAGTGAGGTTTTTTTAATATCCAAGTTTGTTTATCTTAGCCACTAGGTCAGAACTTCTGATGATTTTATTATGACTTCTGAAATAGCTGATTGCTATTTTTACGCTGAACTGTCCCTATTTTAAGAGTTCAAAATGGAAGCAGAATCATTAAGCCCTAACAGGTTGCCTTAAATTACATTCTGATTTCACATTTGGCTACATTTTTTTTCTTTTAGAGCTATTACATATTCATTGTACTGAATAGTACACTTTGAAATTTTTGTGTCATGATACTGAAATAAAGTGTATAAATGTCTAAGAATCTAGTACTCTTCTAACTTTTCCCATTATATGTCCAAATCCCTGATTTTTAAAATGTAAATGTAGGATTGTGACAAGTTCTATGAAGAGACTGTAAAAAAAGTATTACATTGTTTTAATTGTAATTTGTCATTATAATTTGGCATATAAAAGAAATGCACAAAATTTGTTTTCCAGTAGTCTGTCCCAGTTAGAGATACTAAGTTACAATATAAAAGGAAAAAGAACAGGTAGTATTACAAAGAATCATATTTAAAGACAGCCCAATGTATATAGTCCAGTGGACTTTCAGGGTATCTGAAGTATAATTCAGCTACAATCATAAAATGTTAAACAATTCATAATGCTAAATAAAAATAATAGAGAAGTGCAAAATGATTTTTTACATTCGACTTTAGTTAAATGAAGGCACTCAGTATTTTTGAATATTTAGTTTCTCACATTTTACACATATCTATTTAGAATTATTTTGTAATTAAGTGACCCTTTACTCTTCATTCAGCAGTGTGATGGTCTCTTGTTGGAAAGCCTGTGAAATATAAGATGCTACAGTTAAACTGGTTGGCCTCAGTGTAGTGAATTTTTCTTCTGGAGTTTTACAATAGTACAGTTACAACCAAGTTCTTTTTGAGAAAAAGCTTGAGCTGTTGCCCGATCCTTAAGTGTGTGGCTGGAACTGTTACTCTTCTGTTAAACTTCATTACTGCACAGGAGAAGTCTTCCACCATGTTTCTGATGTGTTGGAAGGTCTTGTCTTCTTAAAGGTGGACAGTCTTATCTTTCAGAGAGTTGGAGCACCTAAGGCTGCTAGTGAGTTGATCCTCCACTTGCACCTATAATTAATTAAGATGGCAGTCCACCATCTCCCTCTCTTCCTTCTTTCCCCATTCCTGGATATCTGGAGAACCACAGACTAGTAGAGCAAAGGTGAGAATTCACAACATTGTTACTTCCAAGGGGGGAGGGTGTGAGGGATAAAAACAGTTAGTAGGCCATGTATTCATTAGTAAATCAATTAGTAAATAAATGGTATGTTAGTACTGCAAAGAGGAAGAATTTAGACCCCAGGACAAACAATGAGCAGGTTTTACTATTCCCAATATTTATTAACAAGAATCTGATTTCAATTTCTAAGAAGTTTCTACTGATCAGCTATTTTTGTTAGCATTAATATTTCTATATTGCAAACCAAATTCTGCTTTTCCAAGATTATCTTTAACGAACAAGGTCACAGAGAATGTTACTTTATTAGTGAAGAATAGTTTACTATGATTTGATTTGGAGGAACCTGTGTAATAAATCCACTCACCAATGTGTTAAGAGATTCAAACAGCCCTTATTCAATATTAATATATTAAATAGTAAATATAGAAAGCAGTGATTGCACTGTAACCATGTAGAATGTGAAATGTAAGTTGAACTCTTTACCTTAACATTCGCTATGACTTTGAGTTCCTTTGGGGTGGTGGTGATCGATTTCTTCATAAATACTTCTAAAACAAGCCATCATGGCAAAGAAGGTTACATAATCAGTTTCAAAGTACTATTTTGGCTTTTAACTGCCAAAACCTTAATTAAAAACTGGTGCCATGGCCCTCCCTGGTGGTGCAGCAGGTTAAAGCATAGCACTGAGAATCTAAAGCTGCTTCCCCATGAGTTCGATTCCCGCCTGCCCCGGAGGTGACCACATGGTGTGGCAGACCTCTCCTGACCTGCCCGCTGCTCCCCTCAGCAGTGTACTTCGTGGATCTGCCTGTTCTGTTCCCCACTGTCTCTGGTGAAGCCTCTCACCGCCCCTGCACCTCTGGCCTATACCCCAGTTCTGTATGCACAAATAAATAAATCTTTAAAAAAAAAAAAAAAAACTGGTGCCATTTTAGTTGTTCAGGCTACATCAGTGAATAAAATTAATGCACTCTACCCAAATCCTAACTCATAACTTTCAGAAGCCCTAATGCTGTAACTCCCATGCATCTTATAAATACATATCTTAAGTAGCCAATACATTTTTTTGTAACTTAAGAAAAAAATGATTCAAATTTAAATTATGCTTCCTCTTTTAAAGGAAAAATTATTCCACTTTTCCTGGCTCCAAAACATTTTTCTTTTAAAATAATACTCGGCCCTCCCTGGTGGTGCAGTGGGTTAAAGCACAGCACTAAGAAGCTAAAACCACTTCCTTATGAGTTCGATCCCCGCCTGCCCGGGAGGTGACCACATGGTGCGGCAGACCGCTCCTGACCCGCCCGCTGCTCCCCTCAGCAGTGTACTTCATTGATCTGCCTGTTCTGCTCCCCACTCTGTCTCTGGTGAAGTCTTTCGCCACCCCTGAGCCTCTGGCCTGTACCCCAGTTCTGTATGCACAAATAAATCTTTAAAAAGAAAAAAAAATAAAATAATACTCATCTATTTAACCTGTTAATGACACACCAAATTCCTGTGCCACTTTATAAGTACCGCTTTAGTACTGTACAGTTGTTTTTCTGATACCCTTTATTAAACTATATATATATATATATAATGTCTTACATATCACTATAGCAGAAAACTATGATACCTACAAATTCAACATTCATAGATACAATATAGCAAAAAATGGCTAAGGGAAAAATCTCACAAAAAATCAGAGTCATGATCAACTTCTTGAGGCCCCAGCATGGTTCACAGACCTTTTCTTTAATCTATGAACACCCCTCTACCACCACCACCAGCAGCTCTTGTTGAGAAAACTCAGTAAGTGCCCTGAGGGGGAACTTTATTAGCTCCCCATCACTACCTTCCGTTTTCATTTGTATCATCATTTACTTGTGGCTTCTCAAATACTTTCCTCATTTAGTTGATACATTACCGCCCCCTCCACCTCCCTTAGACAATACCTCTCAGCATTCATAGATGCTCCAGCATCTCCAATTTTATACCAAACACAATCGTTAGTTCCACGTTTGCTTAATCATCTCTGTAATCCTCAAGCTGCCAAACCACTTTCCATCATCCCTTCATAATTAGGTTGCTAGTAAGTCATGTGCATGTAATTAGTCTATTTTACCCTGTACTTTTCAAAACAGTGAAATATGGTTTCTATTCCCATCAATCTACCAAAAAGCTATCACTGAAACAGCTGATGATTTCCATGGTTTTCAGTCCCCCTTGCTCTCAGTAGTGTTGCTCTCAGCAGTGCACCCTGTTTCCAACTTGGCCATTTCTCTACATGGTACCAAATTCCTTTGTACTCTCTTTGTCCTTGGCTTTGGCTTTTCTACTCATTTGAACATGACCAAATTTGTCCTCTTTGGGGTCTTCATACAGGCTGTCCCCCGTGCAGACAATAATGATTCTTACGCTTGTTACCTAATATTAGAAGTCTCAACTTTAATATCACTTCAAGCTGCCTCTAGCTCTCATTTAAATTTGTTGTTACATACTCTTAAGTCACCGTATTCTTTCATACCAGTTAACACATACTGTAAATATTGTTTGCCTGCTGATAATGATTTCTGTCTCAACACCAGACTTAACTTTAATGAGAACAAAGATTGTGTCTCTTGTTGAAAATGATAAATTTACACCAGCCAGACGGTCAGTGCATTGTTCAAAACTATGTCCAGTAAAATTGTGTGTATATTTTCATAAATACTGTCCTTCTAGTACAGAAATTATTAACTTGGGATTCATGGACAATGAGTGATAAATCTCTGAACTTTTCTACAGATGTAATGCTTTTCCTTAGCAGTTCCCTGGATTTCATGTGGCTTTCAAAGGAACTTTTCAAAGCTTCACCTCTCCACCTTATTACTTTGCTCACCTCTAGTAGCTGTTGTGCTAGGTATTTAAGCAATCTAACTGGATATAATAAATAACTTCACTTCCTATGTGAATGCAGAAACTGAAAAAAATACTGTTTGGCAACAGATAGCATACCCAGTTTAACTGATTTCTAATCCCGTAAACCACTAACATGTTCAGTGATAATTTTATCAGACGGAATTACCTAGATTAAGTTTACACAATCCTAAATTAGGAAAAAACATTTGATGAACTTCCTAAGACTATTAAGGTTTATTCCTAAATTATCCCCAAATGGTTTGCTGCACTGAGGATTTTAAACCAAGGGTTAAAATCTCAAATCCATATCCATATTCATTTGCTAGGCAAAGCAAATGAATGAACAGAAAGTGAGATGAAGTCTGGTAGATTACAGAACATGCCACATGTCAGTAGATAGCTACTGAAGCATGTGCAAATGCAGGCAGGGCATTGTAGTGTCCAAAAGAATTCAGAAGTCCACATAATTTTTGAAACAACCTAGTAATTAACTGCTGGCAATTAATTTTTAAATGCACGCTTAAAGTTCTATGTAGGTCAAACACAACTGCAGGCAAGATCCAACCTGCAGGCAGCCAATGTCTAAACAACAATTCCATAAACTTGCTTTAATCATCTTTAATAATTTTGGGGGTAAACTTCAAAGTATATTAAAACTTTTAATGAGCCTATGATCATGTAATTTATATTAATTTTACCTAGATGATATCAAAATAAGGCTGCTTTAAAGATTTCAAGTTAAAACATTTTTATACAAGTGTTCTGTTAATTCATTTTAAGCACATTTTGGTCACATATAGTGTAAGCTAAAAATTATTGATTTTTTTGGTGATCAGTAGTCAAAGAACAAGAACACTTTACCATCAATAAGGTGTTATTTATATCACTAATCCTCTCTAGCCCATCTCAAACTAAAGAGAAACTTTTTTGCTAAGGCAACTAGAAGAATCCATTAATGCAAATCTGGTTCCAGTTGTTTCCTAATATGCAACCACAACATTTTTATTTTCCAGTCACAAGACTGAGAAAGACCAGTAAGAGCAACACATCTATAAAACCTCCTGTATCATTTTTAATAAGGTCATCAATTTCTGCCAAGACCTAAACAAATGTAAGTATTAGCTCTGCTACCAAAGGGGAGCAAAACAAAAAATCAATCTTTTAGAAAGTGACTTACTCTGTAGTGACAGCAGGAGCTAAGGGATCAAACTCCATTACCTCATAGTAATTGGCTGGCTGGAGATCACTCTTTGTCATGGCTTTAGGCAAAAGAAGAAAAAAAAAAGACCAGTAAACACACATTCTGGCCTTTCATGGCCATAAACAATTAGTAGTTCTCTTTATGACTTAGACTTCAAACATGAAACCCAAACAAGGAAGCACTGAAAACCAGAAACAAAACACGCCAGTGTTCAATGGAACTCCCAAGTGCAACGAATTTACATACATCAAAGAGATTTACAAACTTGCACTAGAGGTTTATTCAAAATACAACAGTCACAGCGACACAAACATATTTACTGTCTCCTGTTCCTTTAATATCTCATAATGGGATCAGCCCTGAATTTCACGTGGCCTTCAAAAGAAAATGAACTGTAAATTTTCCTTTCAACAGATCTCTTAATTATCAGTTAATCTCTGGCAAACCCACCTAGTCTCATAGGTTCCCCTATTCAATGGTAATAAGGCCTCTAGTACCTGGATGATTGCTGGGCAAGGGTGGCAGTCTCTCGCTCGATGGAGTGGCTAGAAAGTTCTGTAGACTAACAGGCTGCAGTAATACTGAACTGGAAGACTCCAAAAACTGAAGAAAGCATAGCACATATTCAAATCAACAATTCAACTTCAGCTTTTCATATTTAGATTCCTAGCTTTCCAAGTGGTACTATTCCAAGAGCCATAACAAACTTTGAACTGAAGAAGAATTAGTAATTATTGACGATGACTGTCATCACAGATGGGTTTTTGAGCAAATAAACACTATTAAAATGTACTATTTTTTTTTTCAATCTGGTTTCATGTCCACTGCACCTCATTCCCTACCAAAAATAAAAAAATTTTCTGAAATGTCACTTTGAGAAAAAAGCAGCAGCAATACATGGTTCAGTCCAGATCTGCTGTTCACACAGATAATAAAAATTTCAGCCTCAAATAGAAACAAATACCTTTACAAAAAGGTATAAGGTGAAGATATCAAGTCGAGAGTGATTAAAAATTAAAGCCTTAATTAGAAGCAGCTCTCCATTTCACAAATGTGTCTTGGGCATCTATTAGATACCACATCTTACAAATAACGGAATAAAAATGAACCAAATTCTTGCCTTCCTGGAGTAGACAGTCAACAAAATAAACAGATGGCAAGCAAAAAGGGGGTGGGGAAGTAAGAATACCAGGGAGGAAAGGCTGAGATGTCTGGGATACCTCTCTGGTGGTGGTGTCAGGAAATGCCTCAGCACTGGGGTCAGTTAGCAGAGCCCTGACGCAGACATGGGCCCTGTGGTTATTTGAGGAGACACCGATCACATGCTCATAACCAAGGAGGTCACTGTGGTAGAGCACAGTGAGCCCAGGGTGAGAGGTGAGGCTGGTGAGGTTACATTCAAATCAGCATTTCAACTTTTTACAGAGTAAAATGCAGCGCAGAAGAAAATCACAGGTTGGTTTAGAGAAGACGAGTAAGATCATCTTATTTAAAAAGATTGCTTGTTTTTTGCTCCAAGCACAGCTTGCTGGATAACGACAGGTGGCAAGGCAGCAAGTCTGAAGCAGGGCAACCCCTAGTAAAAGCCATGTCCGTGTCCATTTGATGGCCTGGACTGGGACTGCAGGAGAGTGGCTATGTTTTGTAGGCAGAAACAGACAGGTTTAGTGAGTGGTCACTTCCTTCTGTAGAGGAGACTGCAGAAAAGGCAGGACAGGGCTGGGGAGAAGTCAAGAGGAGATGGAAAAAAGAAGGTGAAATTCTGAGTTTAAGGGGGTGGCATTTGGGATATCAGTTAGCACTTTTAAGTTGTCAGTATCTGATATTTCAAGATAGGAATTCAAAGACCAGCGAAAAATGGATGTAGATAAAGAGGTCTGAGCGCTGGGATCTCTTAACACCGAAAGGCAGGAAGAAGAGGGGGCCAGAAAAGGAGACACTGAAGAAGCAGTGACGTAAGAGGTGACCCAAGTGGGGTTATCCGAAAGCCATACGTGCTAAAAGAAGGATGTGATGGACTTCGTCATCAGGGAAGATGAGGACTGAGGATGGTACGAGCTGTTACCACAAGGAGGTCAAGTGACTGTGACCAGAGCCATGCCCACGGGGCAGAGGGCTGACAGCATGTTTGAAGCCCACCAGAGGAGAGGAAAGCAGTGGAGATGACACATGCAGACATCTCTAAAGGAACATTGGTCCTTAACCATCTCTGTCACAGTATTGAGGCTCATCTTGTCCATCTTAAATGAGTAAAAAAGGCAAGAAAAAGTCCTAACAAGGGCTGCACCGACACATCACACATACAGGGAATCGTTGAGCAAAACATGAGCATTACGAACAGGAGTTCCTTTTTGGCCACGACAATCTGCTGACGTAGGTGCCAGGAAGGATTTCATTACTCACACTCTCATATGTATGATCCGAGTCGAAGTTCTGGATGGTCCTTTGGGGAAACCTAGGATAGTGTAATGACAGCATGATTACCCTACAGTGAGAACACAACTGCAAAAAGTAAGATGATTTCGCTGATCTAAAACAAAATGAAAGCTGTACCTTCAGAATGCCCAAGAGTATTACTTTTACATAACAACTGTCATCTGTTTTGGTTGCCACCAGGTCATGCTGCTCAAATAAGAGTAGAGACAACTGTCCCTTAGCCATGAGGTCCCCTGTGGCCCAGGAGCAGGCACAGTGCACTGGTAAGAACATCAGAGTAGCTACTGCCTGAAGGAGGAGGAGCGATGCAGGGTGGAGGAAGAAGGAAGCAGGGATGGGGGGACGGGGTGGGAGAGGGAACACATCTCACCATGTCTGTCCGTTGCATGCAATTATTAAATCTGGGCACAATACATGGTGTAGATGCTTGAGGAATGAAAACTAAGTAAGTACAGCCTGACTGGGAAAGAAGACCAGAATCTGAATACGTATGAACTGTTGGTGAACTTATTTTCTGGACCCTCTGGTATTCCCTGACCTGAATCCAAGTGCAGCCTGAAACCCAAATATGGGCCTCAAGAAAAGCCTCTCTCACTCTCACTCCAGGAGCAGGAAAGGGAAGGCCTACTGCTCAGAGAGAATTCTCCTGGAAACCCTCCCCCTTTTCTTTCTCTTCAGTTCTCTCACACCCAAAGCCCCAGGCAATCCCAAGGCTGCAGCACTGCCAGCAGGCCTGAAAGTGACCTACAGGAATGTGAAACTGTGAGCTAAAGGACCCTCTCTCTGCCCAACAGGTGGAGCTATGATCCCCAGAGGACAAGGCCAACCTGTTAGGTCTTGTCCCTGTTCTGTCCTGCCATTTGATCTCAGACACAAGCACAATGGAGGGAAAGCCCGGTGTACCAGTAGCTAAAGCTTTCTGATTGGAAAACCAAAATGGAGAATCCCAGAAAGCCAAAGTACTGGGGAAATCTCAAAAGGGAGGAATTCAGGAAAACAACTTTATAAAGTTATTTAATTGTGGGCTGACCTCCTGGACTTGTGCATCTGTGGCTCCCACCCCAGTCAGGATTTCAAAGACTGAGAACACACACATCTGCTGTCCAGACCTAAGACTGACCACGGCGGTTAACAACTGACATCAGAAACAACTTAGCACATGAAGCAGGCTCAAATTGCAGCATGAAGCTAATGAAGTGGTCAGCCTACTAAAATTAAAAAATCAAAAGGATTTAAATAAGAACAAGCATCACATAACTTTAAAAATGCCAAGGACACTATCAATCCAAAAGTACCAGGGATATAATGAACAGGAATATTTTGGATTGCAAAAGAAAAGACAGTCAGCAGAACTGATATCAAGGACACAGAAGGTAAAATTATGTCAGATTTTAAAGCAGTTACTATACAAATGCTACCAATGGGCAACTGCAAACACTCATTGAGAAATGGAAAGACTGTCTCAGCAAAGAAATGTAAGACATAAACAGCCACATAATTATTTTAGAATTGAAAAATACAGTATTTTTTTAACACTTACAGAATGGGTTCTGTAGTGAAAACAGTAAACACAGTGGTCCTGGACACAGGTCAATAGAAACGATCCAATATAAAAACCAGGAATGAAAGAAGGAATTAATAGAACCCTTGCGGTTAGTGAAACAAGGACATCAGATCTAACATTTGTTTCATCAAGAATCCCAAAAGGGATGCAGAAATGTGTCGTGCTGAAAATAAATATCTGAAGAAATAAAAAGCTGAAAGCTTCACAAAATTGGTAGGGAACATATGCTCACAGCTTCAAGAAGTTCAGTGTACTGGGTTAAATGGATGGTCTCAAAAATGTTCTGTCCATGTTCTAATGCCTGGACCCTAAGAATATTACCTTATCTACGTAGAAATTTAGGATCTTAAGATAACAATATCATCCGATATTATTCAAGAAAGCCCTAAATTAATAATACAGTCTTAAAAAAGAAAAGTGGAGGGAGATTTGAGACAGAGAGATGGTATAAATGTGAGACATAAACGAGTGATGTGGCCACAAACCAAGGAAGTGAAGAGTGTGGACATCACTGGAATCTGGAAAAGGCAAGATGGCTCCCCCTACCACCCCAGAGAGAATGGTCTGCTGAATGTTAAATTTCCAGTCTTCAGAACTATGAGGAAATATTCCTGTGGTTTTAAACCACCCAGTTTGTGGTAATTGTTTTGATGACAGCCACAGAAAACAAATACAGTCAGCAGAAACAAAACAGAATAGCCAAAAGAACTCACATCCAGACATATCAGAATCAAACTGTTAAAAATCAGAAAAAAAGGCCTCCCTAGTGGTACAAGGGGTTAAGTTGCAGCACTCTCAAACTATCAACAGTCACTACAGCACGAGTTCAATCTTCGGCCAGGGAGCTGACCCACATGCTGCAACAGACCTCTCCTGCCTTGTCTGCTGCTCCCCTCAGCAGTGTATTTCAGTCAATCTGCCTGTTCTGCTCCCCACTCTGTCCCTGATGAATCCTCTCAATCCCCACAACCTGGCCAACAACCCAGCTCCCGTATGCATAAGTAAATAAGAGAAATCTTTAAAGAAGATGAAGAAAAATTTTTGAAAGGACCACAGAAAACAAACATCATCTATAGGAAAAGAACTATCTGAAAGAAGATGTCCCATCAAAAACCATTTGGCCCAGAAAAGAGAAACATTTAAATTGTTGCAAAAGGTCAACCCAGCATTTTATATTCAGTAACTACCCTTCAGAATCAAAAACATAAAATTTTCACATGATATAAGACTAAAATTTTTCATTGCCATTAAATTTGCTCTGAAAGAATGGTAAAAGGCATTCTTCATATAGAAAGAAACATACCCATAGAAAATAAAATAAGAGCAACAGCAACGTCAAAACTGGATAAGCTCATCTCTTTTGAGTTCTTTTTAAGATATATTTGAGGGTTGCAATTAAAAATTCTAACACTGCCTAGTGCTGCTATAGATACCATCAAAATCACAACAGATAAAATGGAATACTAAAAACATTCAAATAACCCAAGAGACTACAGAAAAGAGGAAATGGGGCTGGGAGAATCGAAACAGAAAACTATACATGGCAGACCTCACTCCAAATTATATTAAATATGAATGTCTAAAAGCATCAATTAAAGACAGAAATGTCAAGAAGCATAAAAATGTATGGCCACCATATGTTATCTACATGAAACTCACAGCAAGTGTGCCATGACTGATGCGCCCTTTACTTTTCACAAATTTGAACCTCATTTCTTTCCTCCATCCTTTGTTATAGTATTTCCCCTATTTACACTAAAAGTATCATAAACTAAAACAATGTATGGAAGGTTTATTAGGCACCAAGTGCAATATTAGTATATACAGGATCTCACAGAATCTCAGATCTCAGAAAATATTCTTAGAAGAAACAGAAAGGTTCATATCAGTAAAATATTCATGGTCTTAGAGTTAGTAGCAAGTAGCAATAATACTCTCAGGACTGTCAGATTCCTAAGCCTCTACTTTTTCTTGAACATGAAGAATTAGAATTAAAGGGAGTTCTGGAGAATTTCTGCCATACTTACAAGGGTGTTTCTGTATTTTCCAAAGATAACAAATCTGTTTGGGGCTGAGAAGGTTTTAAGTTGTTTGTTATATCAGGACTTGGAGAGCTGAAATCTAGAAGAAAAATGGACTTGTTTGAGTTTAAAACATTCTGTCAGTTGTTCTATTGTTTTCTACAGTAAAAAAGAAAACAAAAAAAAACTAAGACACAGAAAGCAACCAAGTGATAGGATTTCCTCTGATGACAAAGCATCATTTATGATAACTGGAAAGAAAAATCCCCTACCATGTAAAGAGGTTGTTGTGAAGGTAACGTGTATTACTGCATTGAATATTCTAAAATCCCAAGCTGATCCAGAATGGAAAGGATTCTGTGTTTAGTTCTGCCAAGCACAAAAGTAAGAAGTGATGATCACATCCCGAAACTCTTAACTTCCCACAATCCTAAGTAAACACCCCAAAGGGAATAATTATTTTTGCCCCTACAGAAAAACTCATCAGAGTTACCAGCTCCTCACATTGCACTGACCAACATCTTAGAAATGGAGTAAAATTCTTAGAAATGGAGTAAATTAGAAGAAAAATCACAATTTCAGTGATATAGAATATTGTGACTAGAAAAATCAGCTGACATAAAGGAAATAAACTGATTTTAGTTTGGTAAAACATCTGAATTTCAGCATTTCTCTTCAACTTACTTTGTAATTTATCAGAACTTCTGGAGAGTAAGGGTAAGAGGAATGAACAACTACCATAGGTATGGTAGGCAACCCTAAGCCTACCATGCACTATATAAGCAATATTTCATTTACATATAATAAAATATTTTAAATAAGCAACCATTATTCTTGTTTTATAAAGAAAGAAAGCCTCCAAAGGTTGGGTGACCAGCAGAGGACAGAATTGGGATCTCAAACTGAACCTCTGATTCAAAAGCTTGTGTTTATGACCGCCCCTACCTTTCCCCACTGTGTGAACTGGGCCTCATTAATCCCTGAATTTTCTATCTGCCTCAAATATTCTCTTACCTGATACTGCAGAATAGCAGAAAAGCCCAGTGATAACATGTGTGGATGCAGAGTAAAGTACTGGCCAATTTGTGAAACAACCTCTCTAAGGGAGGCCATGTGAATTCCCTGAAATTCCTAAGCCAGTGGGACAAGTTTCAAGACTTCCTTCCCATGACACATCCTATTCTTGTACTAGGTTTGACCCAACCATTAGCCAAGAAGTAATTACATCTCTTGGTATTCAAACTGCCTTCAGTCTTTCCAGGCTGCATTTAATCATGAAACCCAAGAGAACTGCTGCACATCTAGCTCTTCGGCTGGTCTGAAAAGGCGCACATGTATTTACTTAAGTCTGAAAGCTGAGCATTCACAGCGTTGAGCTCCTCCAGAGTGGCTCTTGGCACAGGAAGGCTGGGGCTTAGGTCCAGGAGGTCACAGGATGGGGCAGAAGGTTCACTGGTAGTCTGAAAACAAAGCAGAAGATAATATAATTTAGGAAGGATGTGTCAGGTAGTCAGTGGCTTTCTCCCCAGAGACTTTTCATTTGGAGAAAGGAAGATAATATCTACATAAATTCTGAGGGAGAACATGTTACTCCATTCAATGAGTAGCACAATATTTAATCATGGATCACCTTCCACATGGGTTCCTCCTTAATTGGGGATTCATCTATTATAATTTCTTAGTAATTTAATGACATCAAGTTATTAAGGCAAACATTCTATACTAGCACATCTTTAAAGTCCCATCTCTTCATGACTTCTTTTAGGTAAGACTTGCTCTTGACTGTGCAATTTATAAATGTTCAGTTGTTCGCTTTATAAAATGTTTATCTACTTACGTTGTCATCTTCCCTCTGGTTTTTATTTTGTTCCAAAAATCTTTGCTGGTTTCGAATAAACCTGTTGAATTAGTAAAGTACAAGTGTTTAAAAGAAAAAACTATTTGAAATGCTATAGTATTTAACAATTAACGTGCAAATTTTAGGAACAAAGACAAACAGCCTCATTCTCACTCAACTCCCAGCAATTTAATAACATTTTTCAGCTTATGAAAGTTATAATGCCTTTAGAGAGAACTGAGAAAATGAAAACAAATTTTTTAATTAATAACCATCCTATACCCAGAAATTGTCTCTATTAACATTATGATGTATTCCAGTATTTTGTCTTTATACTAACCTATTTTAAACTTAATTGAAAATAGACTTTATATAATCCTGTATGCTACTTCAATTATGTTGTTTTTCCTAGTTATTCAAAAATACAATTTTAGTAGCTGCATATCTCACCTTATGAAGATATCACACATTAATCTATTTTAAAATTATTACCAATTTTGTCGTTATAAATCCTTATAAATCAACTTTAAAGTTGATTAAAGTTCAAATACATTTAAATATTTTCGCTGTTGATCATCCTTTTAATAAGACTCTTGATACTAAAATTAGTGACCTTTTACAAGTTTGATTTAATTTCACACTGCACATACACTGTGGGTAAAGAAGGACAGTGACAATTGAAACTAGGTTTGAAAAAACAGTGAAGGTGGAGGTAGAAGTCCAAGGTTCGAGTGTCAGCATTATTATCTAGTAAGGATAGGGCTTCCTGATTCCCAGTTCTTTATCTGCTAAATGACAACATGTAAGCCACTTCCTCAGAAGCTACTCTCAGAGGCAAAATATAAGGAACTGTTCGGCAAACTACAACTCACTTCAAAAATATACAGAATTACTATTATGACACTTGAGGCCATAAAGCTCACACTTTAAAATCTATAAGCTTAGACTGAATTGGAACAAGCACTTAAGTTTAAGGGTTTTTCCCTTCTCATCTACTTATGCCACTGACTTTATAAACTTAGTTATGTGCTAAGTATGAACAACCTTCCAGATCAAGCCAGGAGAAACGAATGTCTGCTTCCTTATTGGCACAACTATTCCATAGACTTCAGGGAACACTGGAATAGAGTGAAGTCTTTATATGTGACATGTATGTGAATCTTTGGGGTACGGAGAGCAAACTCTGGGAACAATGCTGCGTCTCCCCAACACCACATTCACATCTTAATCAAAGGAAGTGAACAGTAATCAGCTGCATGGCAAAGGGGAATCAGGATCTAAATGGAGTGAAGGTTCCTAATGAGAGTCTCCTGAACTAGACAGATGAACTTAATGTAGTCACAATGATCCGTAAGTGTGGAAGAGGGAGGCAGAAGAGAAAGCAAGACTGGAAAGATGTGAGGTGTCAACCAGAAGATGATGTTTTTGAAGATGGAGGAAAAGGGTTGTAAGCCAAGAAAAGCGAGCAGCCAGGAGAAGATGCAAAAGGTAAGGAAAGGGACTCCCTAGGGTCTCCACAGAATGCAGTCCTACCACACCGGTAATCTTGACACCAGTGGGGTCCATTCCAGATGCTTACAGAACTGTATGATAGTTCAGGCTGCATGAAGCCACTGAGTTTATGGTAATTTGCTATAGCAGCCACAGAAAGTCAGACACCTCTTCAAGAGGGCAAGTGTTTCTCTTTGAATCTCAAAACCCCAAATGTTTCTTACAGCTGACCACAACTGCTTTTGGTACACAAAAAGCGCCGCTCACAGAAGTAATCCAATCTCCTGGTACTTGGATCAAATAAATATACATTCTTCCTCTAAGGACAGTTCAAGTAGTGGGCTTGTAGTTTTGATAGAATGCTCCAAAATGAAAAACAAAAGGCAGCAGCATTTCACTGAAAATTAAAAATTTTCTAGAAATTTCTGCTTACAATAATTTTTACCACAGAAAACAATGGGCAAGGACTGGGAAGACATTCAGGGCTAAGCACTGGCCGCTGAGCTCACATGCGAGGTCCTTGCACATGCCTCCTTGCGTGAATGGCTGCTGTCCCGGATGGGCGGCAAGGAAGAGAAAGTGCTGGTTTTATTTCACTGAAGCCCTCTGTCCATTCATGATCAGTGAGGGGGAGAAAGCCAGTCAGTTAAAGGCTCAGTGGAACATGAATGAGTAGAAAGAAGAAAAGAAATTAATATTTAATGAGTGTCCATGTTGGTAGTATTTTGCTAGGTGCTTTTTCAATCCAGAAGCTCATTTAATTCTCAAAACAAAAGCCTTCTACATAGGCAGCAGCAGCATCTTAAAAAGACAGGAAGAAAACCTGTCTTTCTTGTCTGAAATCTTCAGCAAGTACCTTGTCTGAAATCATCAGCAAGATCTGATTCCAGGCCTATTAAACTCATTCCCTCATGTCACACTGGTGTTAAGCTTCATAGGTCAGTTGGAAATACGGCCGAAACGCAGCTAAACACTCCCAGTTGTTCTCCAAGGAAACAGGTTACTCAAGTGTGTCTACAAATGTTACCCTACTTAGGACAACTGTCTGTGGCATTTAGCGAACAGGAGGTCACACAAGGGAAAACTGTCCCATCCAAAATGCCAATAGCACCCCTAAAAATCTAGACAACATTCGGGGACATCAGAAGCCCTAGAATTTCCATGATGGGCTTGGAAAAATATCAGAGCCCTTACCTGACACCATGTTTTTATACAGTACATCACATTAAGACAGAGGCCCAGACTCCTGCTAATCAGCCTAAGCAGCTGCAGTTCCTGGGTGTAGCTTCTGGATGCAGGTTCTCCCCTCAAGGTTTATGATACATTCCTACAGTTTCCTGCACGGGGTCTGCTCTGTCAACTCTCCTCATTAAATCAATTCCTAATTCATCCTATGAAATGCCACATAAGCAACACTTTCTCATAGAGGCCTTCTTTTCCTGCTCCCAACTCAGATCATGGAACTCCTGTGCTTAGTGCAATTTCTATGTGTGTGTGTGTGTGTATGTGTATATGTATGATTTTTAAAATCTCTGCTTATACACAAAATTTCCTCACTGGCAGCTGTGCTTACATACAATGTTCTCCCTATAAAATTCCCCCCCCCTCTTAACATTCCATATTCTCCTCCATCACACTCACTTTCACTAAGATGCTGTCTTTATAATTTCCATCTGTAAAAGAGTGAAGTGCTTAAGGCACACAGTAAGAGGAGAATGAGACCCAGGACTTGCTGAAAGGTCACACATGAGTATTGTTTACACTGCCCAAGAATCCCCAAGAACACCTGGCACTGCTCAGGGAGGTGTTTATCTTGCCTTATCACAATCTGCCAGAAGGCCAGCCCTGAGATGCCTGTTCTTAGGAGGAAGGAGTCCTTTGTCTTAACATGTTCCTGAGTGTGTCACCTTGTAGCTACTCTAGTAGGAATGCTGAGTAACTGGTGGTGAAACCAAACTGGAAAAGGGCTGGGAGGATGCAGACCAACCATGGCTCACCTCTCACACCCAAGGATGGCATTATTCAAATCCTCATTCACTTGAATTAGCTCAACAGTTACATCTTCATTCTCCACCACTACAAGCAAATCCATGATCCTCTCCTGCATCTCCCGGCTTGTCTTATAAAGTTTCTGTCAAAGAAAGGAAAGAGATTTCTTCTTACATATTAGAAATGTATCATCCATGTTGAGTCACCTGTAGGAGAGTATTCAATGATGGACAGCTGATCCATCTTACCAAAAAGCAATGGGATATAAAAGATTACATTTTTTTTTTTTACTAAAAATATAAACAGGCATCATTAGGACAATTAGTATCCTGCAGGATAATGCTGCACTGGAAAGCAGACGCAGTGTATGGGAAGCCAAATGTATTGCATATAGATGTAACACACTGAAAGAAAAAAAAAGAAAACTTGTTTTCTAAGCCTCAGTTTTCTCATTTGATTAATGAAAATTATAATAACATGCCACATCTTCCTCAAGGGTTGACATAAAAATCAAATGAGATGTGTCTAATGAGAGATTCTATAACTATAAAGCATTACAAAAAACACTATTATTAGCAGTAGTAGAAGAAAGAAGTAGTCCAAAAACATTTACAGCAGCATAATTCTCCTATTATGCTTTGTTTAAATAAACATTCACATACTTCAGAGTTATACTATCACATCCCAAGGTAAACTGAACCAGCATTTAACAATTATGCCCAGATACTATCTCTATTTGGACTACCTGGCGTCTCTGCATTAAGCCATGATTCTACCCCCAAAACCGGTTTTTTCTCATAATCTTGGGAAACCCCTTCAGGGGACTTACTGATTCAGAATCTCCAGAGCTGGGGTCTGGGAATCTACATTTTCTTCCTTTTTTTTTTTTTTTAAAGATTTATTTATTTATGCATAAAGAACTGCGGTATAGGCCAGAGGTGCAGAGATGGTGAGAAGATTCACCAGAGACAGAGTGGGGAGCAGAACAGGCTTATTGACAAAGTACAGTACTGAGGGGAGCAGTGGGTGGGTGAGCAGAGGTGTGCCGCGCCATGTGGCTCACCTCTGGGGCAAGGGATAGAATTCACACTGAAGAGGCCACGGCCAGCTTACAGTGCTGCATCCTAACTCACTGCGCTACCAGGGAGGGCCCAGAATCTATATCTTCTAACAAAAATCCCAAAGTGTTCCTTTTAGATGTAGGCAAACCTACCATAAGTAGAAGCATCAAAAACTGATGATTAATATATCTTTCAACCCCACCTTGGTGAGAATTTGTTGGTGTGATAAGACACTGACATCAGGCAAAAAACATAGGGACATTTCTCCTTTTAAAATGTTAAGCAGCTGGACTGCTATATCATCACATTACTATATTATCTCATTTTTCTCCTCTCAAGAGGAAATACTTGCTGAAAAACTTTCATTTCACAAAACCATTTAGGGTCTCAAGCAATCTATTATAGGCTCCTGACAGGAAATCTCTAAATAAATAAATCAAAGTATTACAAGCTGGCATTTAGAATCATAGGTAAAGCCTACCACCTTTGCAAAATCTTAACAAAAACATATAGGTGACAAAAGGAAATGAAAAGGGCACAAAAAAAGAAAGTGAGAGATGGATGGAAGCTCTTGGACTATAAGGACACACACACACCACACACACATACACACACACACAAAAGACCTGTCCTCACTGCTAAGGCTCATCTGCTATCAGCAGAGATTAAAGATTTTTCCTTTTCTTTTTTTCTAATTTTCTTTCTTAGAGGTCATATATTACTTTCTGCTTTGTATGACCTGTGCCACAATCATTATCTCTACCATTCTAACATCAAAACAACTAGACCAAGATATAAACAAGTGGATGACCATGTTCTAACCTAACAGGGCCAGTGGCAAGCTAGCTTGGCCCAATTACCCTGTAATATACAGAGAACAGACTTTAGACTCAGTAAATCTAAAGTCCCTCCCTTATGTATCTGATATGGGATTTGGTTAAATGTTAGCCTTTGTGTATTTCTTCAACTCTAAAACAAAGATAACAAAACTTTTTCATAGAAATGAGAAATGTGTGGTGGAAACCGCCCAATGTCTGGCCTACAAGTGGGTAGCCAGTGAATGAATTATCCTTACCAAGAGCTCTCAGCAGATGCTTAACTAGATTAACTAATACAATTCTCTAATATGGGCACCACCACTCAGAGCCCGCTATCACACCAAGGAACGAATAGGAAGCATGTAAGAGAACCCTCCCGACGAATGAGATCTTTCCCTTTGTCCTTGTCTTTGTAAGGGTTCAAAATTGTTATCCATTTTGCCTGTGTGTGGTCTTGCTACAGCAATGTCAAGACCAAGGAAATGGAATCGCTGTTAGACACCTGTGACAAAAATGTAGAAATTAATTCAAAATCCATCTGTAACCAACGTCAACAGCATCTAGTCACAGGACATCCTTGCCCTCTCCAGAGACAGAAGGGATGCAAACATGAAAGCAGCCCCCCACCTCTCAGTGGGTTTGCAAAGCAGAGTTGGAAAACCTCTTCAAAAGCCAGCCCCCTCTGATCTTTGCAATTGATGTCTGCCTCAGAGGAGGATTGAATCACAGCGAAACAGCACAGAGATCAAGCACCATGGGTCAAAGGTTACCCACAGTGGGTACCTGCAAGAACGTGGCAGTGCAGAGCAAGTCAAACTGAAGAGCAACTGCTGGTGCACGTGTCCATCACAGAGCCCCGGAGTCACCTCCCTTTCTGCCGTGTCACTGCAGAGGCGGGCTTCTGCGTTCCAGTGAGTTTAACAATCAACTGAAAATTCTTTACAGCAAACAAGGAGCTCATTAAGAGCTTCCCCTTCTGACATCTGGATGGCTCCCACTCCTCCACCAAGTGCTCAGGGACTCAGCGAGGTGATGTCTCTGCACTTTCAAATTTAACTGTAATTACCGCATGCTCAACAACACAGGGAACGCCAAAAAATAAAAGCACCTGAACATCTCCCTTAGTGAAGCAGAAACAAGAAGTATGATTGCATAAAAGCCTTCTCTGGAAATAGTATCTTCATGGCAAGGTTCCTATTATCAGCCTTATAACATATCTCCTCCCTGCCAGCGCTCCCTGCCCAACCGCAGAAGACCCAGAGGGTATCTATCTAGTCAAAATAAAAACTCCCTCTGCTTACCCTAAAACCAAACACTGCAGGGCTTAACTTGCTCAAGTAGTCGTCTCCTCACACAAAGTTCAGCTGAGTGACAATTAAACTGTCAAAATAAACCTCAAGAAGACATCAACTCAGTGGACACTTCTGAATCTTCCCCAACTGTGTAGTGTCAACATTCTATTTCCCTTTGTCCTTAGTAATTCCTTAGTGCTTTTGTCCTAATCATTAATTCTTCAAAACCATCCAGATAGTCCATGTGACACACACTAGTGTGTCCAGGGTCCAAAGTATATACTCTAAATATATAGTTATCTGGGTTACAAGTGTAGGGCTTGCTATGGACTCCCAGCTACTTCCAACTAGATGCAAAGCTAGTACACTCTCCCTTGAGGAGAGACTACCACGGAGATGGAGATGTCTATACTACAGAGTCAATTCTGGGTTCAAATGAGAAGGAAGCTGGTGTCACAATTTGAACATCGGCTTGGAGAATGTCCACTCTCCCCAGCTCCACCATGTCGCATATCCACCAAGTGGGCAAATGGCTCCCCTCTGCTCACACAGCCTCACTGATAGAGGAAGGAAGTGGTCTCAGTGGCAATGCAAGTCCCTTCCACTCTTCACACACGGCACTGAAAAGTAAAGACTTTCAGACTGGTCAGGGCATGATGACTTTCCATTTTACCCTCTGGCTTTCCTGAGACTATCAATTATCCTCCTAGGGTGAAGTTTTACATTCCCAAGATTTTAGACTTCGTTGGTAGGTTAGAACAAGATTTTTTTTCTACTTCCCTCTACTCTAGAGAAGACAAAAAGGTCCTCATTCATTGCCTTGCATCAACAGCCTCTGGTCACATGAAGTCCCTGCCCTCTCCATAAACAAGTGGAGTTGAAACATGGGAGTGTGGGAGCCCCACACTCCCGGCAGGTCTGCAAAGCCTGGGGCGAGGCAAAAATAGGTTAGACAAAAGTGGGAGGGACGGGCAAAGGCAGCTTGTTCAAGGTCAGACTACCGTGGCCCAGAGCCAGGCACACAGGTCCAAGAACACAAACACAGGATTGTGTGCTGTGACATTTCCTTCCTGAGAACAGACCCTCAACTCATCCCGGCACTCAGGACACTGGATAGAGCCTCAGAACCTCTTACCTCACCCAGAATCCCACTCTCCAACCTAATGAGGTGAGGTTCCCAAGCAAAAGTGTTTACTGCACAAAATAGTTTTGTTGCCTAATAGTATAAGATAGGGCAAAAGGCCTGGTAATTATCAGGGCTTCTGGATCTAACTGTCTGGCATGGGTTAGAAGAGCAGACTGTGGATTCTATGTGAGTGCAACGGATTTGGAATGAAAGGAAGAAGGCTGCTTTGAAGGTGAACAGGTTGCACAGTAAAAATCTACATATAAGAAAAGCCAAAACGTTTTTGAGTAAAGCCTTTTGCTCTGTGCTGGATACCATTTTTTTGTTCTCCAGATCTACTGTATGCATTCCAGAGGCAGCTCTGCACTCTGGAGTGTTCTGTGGGGAATGTGCCATGAGGTAGGTACTCTGTCTTCCATCTTCTGACTGGTAGAGCCAACTGGATGCACTGGCAGGAAATGACAGCCAGATAAAGGACGGCTGAGTACTTACCCTCTGCTCCTTCCACCAAATGCACCATGACTCTGGAGGCTGCCTTGACCACAGGATTCTTTTGGGTTCTGGCAGAAGTTCTCCAATTGTCTATTTATGCCTGGGGATATCTGCTAATGGTTTACAGTAATAATCTAGTTCCTGTGGCTTCCCTGAGCCCTTACTATCTCACTAAATAGCACCTTGATGACACTCTCTTCAAATAAACCAAATGGAGTGTGTCACCTGTTTGATTAATAAACCCTATAAACATGAAAATACATACTTAGAGTAATTAAAGTAGAAATAACACAAAAATAGACAAACAGATCAAATAAAACAGCCTCTGGAACCAAATGGAGTGTGTCACCTGTTAGATTAATAAACCCTATAAACATGACACCTGTGTATTAGAAAACCGGATGTGAGAAAGGTATTTGGAATCAGTGAGGAAGGAATGAACTGTTGGTACATTTGGAAGGCCAGTCATCTAACTGGAAAAAATGAACACAGGTAATTCATCCCATTCCACACCAAAAATACTCATTTTAGACCACGTAATGTGTCTAATGTGTTGCAGACTATTTTACTGGTCACACTGGGCCAGGCACTACTCTGGGAAGTAGAACCCAAGCAGGAAACAAGATAAACCTCATGATACTTCCATCTAGGAGGCAAAGACATGAATTTGCAGGAGAAGCATCATATCAGAGTGCCAGGTAAAGGATGGCTGACTCTGGACCAGGACTCAGAGAAGACCTCTTGGAGGAGGCAACATGCTGCGATTGTCATGACAAGAAAAAGTTGGCCACTGGAAAACAAGCATGAGGGGACATGAGTGTTGAAGAGGACCGAGAAGGTGACCCTAGCGTGGCTGGACCTAACACAAGGAGTGCATGTGCTATGCAAGGAGAGGTTGGTGGGAAGTCTCAGGTCAGAGTAAGGAGGCAAGGCTTTACTTTCAGTGTGAAGGGAAGTCGCTGGCAGGTTTCAAGTAAAGAATGACATGATGTGGTGACCTGTTAAAATGTTATACAGGGATGCTCACATCAAAACCACGGTAAGATGCCACTTCATACCTACTAACTGCCTATAAAAATTAAAAGTGTTTGCAAGGAGGTGAAGTACAGACCCTCATGTACTGCTGGTGGGAATATATGGTATGGCCACTGTGGAAAAGAGTTTGAGAGTTCCTCAAGGGTTAGACAAAGAGTTACTCTATGACCCAGCACCCAGCACTGCTTCCTCTAGGTGGACACTCAACACAGGTATTTAGACAAAAAATTGTGCATGAATCTCCATAGCAGTATTATTCCCAACAGCAAAAAGGTGGTAACAACCCAAATGTCCATCAACTGATTAGTGGACATATATTGAGAAAATCTTGAGGTAAAACTGCAGAATTACTTGCTTCTCCATGATTCTGTCATTGCTGGTTTCATTTTTTTTTTTTTTTTTTTTTTTTGATTCTTGAATCAGACAGGAGGCTTCTCCTCTAGCTTCATACAAGATTTCACCATGTTATTTTAGCAAGACTACAGTAGAGTAGGATGCTGTGATATAATAAATACAAGAAAGATTTGGACCTTATCCCCAGTCATCCCCTCGCCCGACCTTCAGAAGTCCTTGGACTGTGAGAGGTTATCTTCTGTATTCCCAAGAAACCACTGTTTCAATCACACCTGAGTTTATGCTAATGTGGCTACTCCAGAGGAACTAACTCAATAGTTAGAGGATTGGAACTTCCAAGAACAACAAAAGTTAAAGGTTCACTAGGCTTTGTAAACAAGCTGATCTCATGCCAGAACTCCCTCAGCCTGAATTGGCCGTGAGCAGCATTCTAATGTTGATTTATAACACAAGACTCTTTCCTATTCCAGGCAACATACAGCTCTGAGCATCATCGTTTGCAAACTGCAAGCACACAAACATCTGCACCCAAGTATTCTGACACACAGCCTTTCAAAGTATTCATAAGATGGCATAAACATAAAAACTGGAACCACATATTTGAGTGGAATGGTTCCACTTCTACTGAAGGACTCTCACAGAGTCTCACAGAGAAATGACAACACGAGAGAGAGAATCATTGATCACTTTAGAACTCTGAAGGACTGGGAAGGCCATGGCAACCTGAAGCATGGCCATGGCAATTTTTGAAAAATAGCATCTGCCACATGCTCTTCTACTTTGATTTAATTTTTAAGCTTTAACATGCTTGTTAACATTGAGTCAAAAAGTTTATATCTTGAAAAGCTGAATGTGGAATTAAAAAAAAAAAACATTAGTGACGCTAAGGATTAATTTTCCTAGTAAAGAGTAAACAAAAGTGACCCATCCTAAGTATCACCCTAGCACTTAATTTTATATATACAGACACTATGTCCAATGATAGTAAATGACTGCTAAGGTCATAAGCCTTAGCAAAATGAAGTGCAAGTCTCAGAGAAATGATACGTGACATGGAGTAATTTCCCTAGAACTACTCACAGAAGAATGAACTGAATGTTTCATTGCGTAAAATAAAGCCCAATTAAAGAAAATAGAAAGACTGGTAGGAGGTCTTTGAAGAGTTGATAATTCCCCAGTATTAAAATATATATATAAGTTGACAAGGCAGAAAGGCCTAGCAAGCAGCACGTAGGGTTGTTTGGCAAATAGACATGCGCACACAGAACACTACACTTAGTGTCACTGACAGGTGGCACATGTTATGTGTCACCGATGGAGCATACAGAACGGTGGTCCCAACAGGCTGCACCCCACAGCCTAGGAGCATGACAGCGCTGATCTGTCAAGGTCTGTGTGACTACACTCTAGGACACCCATAATACAACAGAGTCACCTAGCGGTACACTTGTCAGCAAGTAGCACCATTTCGTGTATGGCGAAATTTCAGAAGCTTTAAGGTAAAGAGAAATTGCAAACACAATCAGATAATTTAGAAACAAAAATTGTAAATTCAAGGCACAAAAATCCAGATCAGGGGCCTCCCTGGTGGGCTACGGGTTAAGTCTCAACACTGTCACTGCTATGGCTGAGTTTGATACCTGGCCAGGGAGCTGACCCACACGGCACAGCAGACCTCTCCTGTCTCCCTCCTGTCTCACCTGTGGCTCCCTTCAGCAGTGTATTTCAGTCAGTGCAAATGTTTTGCTCCCTACTCTGTCTCTGGTGAATCCTTTCATGTCCCACACCTCTGACTTAGACCCTAGTTCTACAACTCAAAAAAAAAAAAATCCGAACCATGTCTCCATCAGTATCACTGGGTACAAGAAACAGTGGGACAGTAGCTTTGAAGGATGGCAGGAAAAAGAACTGTGCCTAGAACTCTCTATCTAGCAAACTACTAGCTTGTCACATGACAGCAAAAGACATCTGGGGATGTGTAAACACTTAAGTGATTCAAGGAGACAGCAGTTACAGACAAGTAACATTGAAAAAGAAAGCTTTTACGATTTCTTGTTTCTCAAATAGGTGAAAATCAAGAAAAATGTTATTTCCTAACAATCTAAGGAGTTAAAGGAAGGATGGGACCAACATGAGAGGGGGAATCAAGGGTCTGAGAAGTGCAGAAGTATAGTAAGCTTTCAATTTGCTTGGGAAGCTGATTTACCAACTGATTTATTATAACTGCTTCTAAAATAACTATGCTGAAACATATGTTGAACTAAAAATTGATAGAACAAAGCTTTAGGAGAAAAAAATACATGGGTGTGCAGACATACATAGAGGTCCAGGCAGGCCTCCACCTTCCAGCGATAACAAATTGTTTGTGGTTTCCTGCACATGCTCATCCAGATTCACGCTCTCTTCCACAGCCTGAGTGCTGCCTCCATCCAAATCTTCCCCTAAATCCCCAACCTTCTCCTTGTTCCCACCCCTGATCCCACTATACATTACTCTTCTGTGACAATTAATCTTGTAAGTAACCTTTCTCATTAGATAGAAGATCCCTGAGGCCCAGGACAGTCTTATTTCTATATTTCTTATCACACTCTAGTCATTCCAAGGTTGACTGGGATGTATATAGGAACAACTTTTAAACACTTAAAAGACACTTAGAGATTGATAAGACAGTCTGACAATGGTCAGTTATTGGATGAGAAAGAATAAGGGACACATCTAAGTTACTATGACATTCTCATAGAGTCACCCTCCATCCCCTGTTTAGGAATCAGCTAAAGATGCAGGAAGATGAACCAGACAATGGAAGACACCTTTCATCTCCAGAGCTCTAAGTTTAGAGAACACAGTGACTGTCATCCCTGAAATCATACTACACCTGCAGAAGCTCCATGTCTTCAGGGTCTTCAGACCCAGGAACATTCTCCATCAATATGGCAGACATGACTCTCACATTCATTTTCACCATATCCAATTCACTGTGCAATTTTCCAATCTGTAAAGAGCAGCACAATCACCAGTAAGTGTGACAGCTGAAGAATGACTGCCTTGTTCCCTTCCCCCAGGGGACATTGGTTGGAAGAAAAAATGCTATTGCATTTTTGCAAAACTTAATGTTTTCAAATTTACATGTAAATGCATCTAAGTATACTTATTATTTTACAAATGTATGTTACTTTCAAAAAAACAAAATATTTTGCAAATAAACTTTAAAATATTCTGTAGAAAGTTAAAAATGAAGGTAGGAGAGTCTGAAGGATACTAAGAACCTCGACAAAATGCATGTTAGTCTGGATTTCTTGGCAAGCAATGAGAAAAAAGGCAAAACAATGGAGGGCTTTGTGTTTCTCATATTTGGGAAGAAAAAAATCAAACCAAAAACATTTTCTTCTGGGGTTAAATTTTAATAGGAATTAATCACACAGATTTTTATGAGAAATATTAAACAATGACAGCATTATTAATAATAACACAAAGCCATCCATGATGGCTCCTTGACAGCATGGCAGAAAAAGCTTATATAATAACTGCTTATCTGCATCTGATAAACAAACATAGGTGAAGTAAATCTAAATCTTTTGGCACAGCACAAACAACCATCACTTACTGAGTTCACTGATGGTCCACAGGCAGACCTACCAGGAATAAGCTGGCTGACATAAGATCCATTCCACAGCTCAGCCTCCACAAAGCCACAAAAGCGACTAGCGGAACACACATGAACTCAGGGTTTAGAATCAGACAGAATGCACAAGACTAATTCTATTTAGACCCGAAACACAGGAAGTCCCAAAGCATTATTTAAGCTTCAGCTCCCTCCTCTATAAAATGAGAGCAACATGTACCTTCACCCCGAATGTTAACAAGAATAAACCAACTTAAAAAAAAAAAAAAAGAATAAACCAACCCAACTAGATGTAAAGTGTTTAGAACTTAGAAATAAGTCACCATAAGGAGACTTATTGCTATTACCTGTTCTGGAACCATTGTAATTGTTGCGTTCTTGGGAGCAATGACAGAAGACAGAGCTGGTGCAGTGGGAACAGCTGGTGATTGGCTTGGTGAAATCTGAGCAATTTATTGAGATGAAATACGTAAATATTATTATTTGAATGAAAAGACACTCCAAGTCCAGTTTTTCCTTTCTGATGAATTAGTCATTCTCTCTCAACCAAAGTCCTGGTCATACAGTGCTCACTCAGCATAAATCACTCATGTGCAACCCACTCAGCATTTTGAGAAGTGCAAAACAAATTTTATACACACAGAACACAGCCTGCCACAAAAAGGGGTGGGGGTGACAATTATGACTGCTAACTGAATTACAATCTAATGACCTTAGTTTTTACCACAGGTCTAAGATAAGCCACCACGTGAGATTCCTCTTGCCCTCTTTTTGAGTTTATTTCAAAAAAACAAGTGGTGAAGTAATTCACGGAAAGACATCTCCACTAAAAGCTACTTCCCAGAGTCAAAGCCTCATTTCCACCCTGGAAGTGAGGATAGGGCATCATGTCTGTGCTTCTTGTCACTGCTTCACAGAGCGCACCTGAAAATCCCATAAACACGCAGACTGTGATATGCCTAGGCTGGACTATGCCTCACAGGCTCCAGATTACTCCCCAATCTCATTGTATCACAAGGCTCCTGCTCGCAACTACGCTGTCTTGGAAGAAAGGGAAACATGGGCAATGGTGAGCGGGGTCATGGGCAGGTAAGAGCCAGGTGCTCATCAGCTGGAGAAGACTGTAGAGGAAGAGCCAGCCCTGAGGACAAACCCTCCATGAAACTCAAACTTCCAGTATATACCTGAATTGCTCATTCAAACAAAACAGGGCTCACCAGCCTGCAGTCATGCAGAGCTACTATTTTCCCATGCTGGAAATTATACAAATTTAAAAGTTGAATTCTAATCAGTTACTTGAAAGTGTTGCAAGTACAAAACCTTGAAAATTACTTGCACTCTTGAGACTGAATACAAGGGAACATCTATTATCTATTATTAATAATAATCAAGTGCATTATGTGACTACCTATGGCACAGATCCTTTCTGGTATAGCACCAATCCTATCCTCTGACAACAGCCCCATCCTCTACTTGAGCCAAATGATTTCCATGGCTTTACCTGACCTATGCCGAAGGGTGCAAAAATGGAAAACTGAGCTAGGTTGGTTCAATGAGTCCCTTCATGCAGATTTTTACATTTGGAGTCTAGATAAGTTAAAGCTGGGATGTGAAAATTTTGGACCTATGGACCCATATAGAAAAAGCTAGTCTTCAAAAAGAGAAGATTAGAGTGAATCATCGGATAACCCATGACAAGGAGACAAGTAACAAGACATTTGAATGCCTGGTTCTCTGCTGTTCCAAAGACCCAGCTCCAAACACCTTTTGCACCTTGGTTATTCTGAGATGCTGCAACATCTTTCTAATAATGTTTCTTTTCTTAAGTTGGAAGGTACTAGGACTGCCCCTCTGCATGAGTTTAAGAAAAGCCTCCTACCTTTTGTCTTTCTCTTTCCGCCTCTGCACCTGATAGAGGAAAGTGAACACCTTTCTTAAGCAGGTCAAGGTACACTTCTTTCACTTCACTTACATCCACACCTCCTGGGAAACCCTGTGACCAAGTCTGAATTCAAGAGACAGTTGCATAGTTAATACAAGCAGCAAAAACAAGACACAATTCTAGAGCTGGAGACAAGAAACAAGAGCTTGACTATCACATGCATTATTTTGAGTTACTTTTGAATGCTATGGCTCTGATGCCCATTTTCAAAGGCTAAGTTAAGAATATACAGTTTTTTTTAATCACTAGATTCCCATAGTTAAAAATTGAAAACTTGGAATACATATTATCAATTGCTTTTGCTGTGCTAATACAAAGTTAACAAAGCCTAAAATAGCATCAGCAAGTAATTTTAAAAATGATTATGCACTTCAGAACCTAGTTTCCATGTCCACAAAATGATGTACACATGAATCTTTACTACCTGATGTGAGTAAAATAGAAACAGAAACATAGAAAATGACTACAAAATCTTCACTGAAAGGCTTACCTTTCAATACTAAGAAATTATTAGATGGTAGTAAAATGTTTTGTGGCTCAATACTAGGCTGATAAAGGACCACTGAACCAGCAGGGAGGTAGCTCATTAGATCTCTAACCTTAGATGTTTTCCACCCAATAAAGTATATAACAGACTCACCTTAATGAAGTTCAGGATTCTATTCTGAATTTCTAGTGGCAAGTTGTATCTGGGATTCAGCAGCTTAACTAGACTATCTTTAATAAACTCTTTCTTCACAATCAGACACTGGAAACGTGGACCACAGTTCTGCATACACATGTCAATAAGCTAAATCAGAGAGAAAAATGTAAACATTTCACTTTCTAGCAAAACTTCTTTATAAATAAAAGATAAAAATTGCTAATGATTCCCACCAGCATTCTACTGAACAGATTTTAGTATCTACTAAAATATATGGCAAAATGTTAGGTTTTGGGAATGTGAGGAAGTAGAAGATATAATGTAACTACTTAGAGAATAGCCTTGATGGACAAAATTATAAGAATATTAATAGGAATACAAGGTAGTAAATGCCAAGGGCCAAATGGAAAAAGCAAACAAGACTCATGGGTTACAGCCAGGGTGACACTTGCCCCTGAAAAATGTCCAGTTTTCCAGAAAAGTCCTGTTATATTCCTTCGTCCCAACTTTATTATTAACGGTGATATTCCCCTTCCATTCTAAAAAAATGTCCCCGTTTAGACAAATCACAGAGTCACCCTAGCTGCAGACCTCTATAAGCAGATGTGATTGTTCAGAGCTGTAAAACAAGATACTGAAAATGGCTGGTCCCAAGCTGGACTTTGGAAAATGTTAAGTGCAAATGAGTGTAGAGCAATATAGACAGGTGACAATGGACATGAGTTTTGAGGAGGAAAACAAGTCCTCCTGTTTGTAGAGGTTTCATTATGCAGGCAAATTGGGGGCACTGAGGAGGCAGGGTAAATAAAGTGTTGCGGGGGCATCATCCACAAGGAAGAGAAACTCATGTGGCAGCAAACGGCATTTCGACATTACCTTAAAGCCACAAAGAAGCCACTGAAGGTTTCTTGTTAGTTGGTCACCATCATGCCTCTATCCTAAACTTGAGAGAAAGGTTAATGTGCACAGGTAATGTGCTGGAAAGGTCTGCCAGCAGCACTCTCCTGGGGGAACTGCAAAGAACACGAACCTGGAATGATGGGAAGAACAAGCAGGGACCCACCAGTGCAGGCCAGATGCTGAAGGGCCTACAGAGGGATGATGTGACTATAAGGAAGGGAAAGATGAGATAATGAGGAGGGCAGAACTTTCAACAACTGGGTGATTTTTGAGAAATGATGACAAAGTCAGTGACTGTCATTCTGCATGAGTTGATGGCACCCTGGAGGGAATATGAAGTGGGTAGGTGGTCTGGTCAACTAAGTTATAAATGAGGCTGACACTGTTTGAGATTGATGTTTTGAGTTTAAAAGGGCTATGGACTGGACGTTTGTATCCTCCCAAAAGCAGGAACTGAAGTCCCTAATGTGATAGTATTTGGAGGCGGGAACTCTGGAAGGTAACCAGGCCAAGAAGGTGGAGTCCACAGGGATAAGACTAGTGACCTTATAAAAAGGGATGAGAGAAAAACTTTCTGGACCGTGTGAGGAGACAATGAGAAGATGACTATGAGATGCAGGCTCTCCCCACATCCTGGTAACTGACCTTCAGTTTCCAGAGCCACAAGAAATGGTTGCTGCTTAAATCACCCACTATAAGGCATTTTCATTACAGTGCCCCAAAATGATGAAGACAAAAAGGAGGGTGGGACAGCTGAGTAGAAATGCTTGGCTGAGAACTATACTTGCACAGCTACAGCGCAGGGGAGAGTTAGGACAAATGTGAGAAATCAGGCTGCTGTGAGGAGCAGAGAGGAGACATGGCTGGAGCAATGGGGTCCACCTATTACACAGGTGGAAGAAAACTCAATCAAGGCAACAAAAACGAAAGCACAAAATAAAGAGAACATGAAGTCAAGACAACAGAGGCCAGCACTGCCAGGAAGCTAGCGTGCAGAACAAAGCACGGGCTGAGGAAAACTCAACCAGGCTCATTGAGTAGTGGGGTCGCTACTCACCAGGAGAAAACATTTTCAAGAAAGCAATGTGAGAGATCTGGCTAAGAACTGAGAAACTGAAGACCCACAGGCAGAGAGCAGGTTTCTAAAAGTGATCTAAAAACAAAATTACATTTCTAGCTCGGTTGCTATCCCCTAACAGGGCCAGGATAGGTAAAATCACCTCTGCAGAAACGCAGCCCTGAAAACTGACGTGGCCCCATGTTCTGTATTTTATCATTTTAATGGCAATACAAAAAGAAGCAGGAGTGAAAAAGCAGTAGATTTAAGGGTAGTGACTGAGAAGTTAATCAGGAAATACAGAAGTTGAGCACGTGCTACTAGGGAAAAACCTGCACTGCGGAGGAAAATAAAAATGAAATGCAAAACCTATTAAAGTGAAACCATTTTAATGCAAATTGTTTTAAGAAAAGAGTTGAAAAGCTGAACATAGGGCTCTCCCTGATGGTGCCACGGGTTAAAGAGCAGCACTGCAGAAGCTAGACACAGCAGCTTCA